GGGCCTGGAGGAAGGCAGAATCTCCAGTGAGTAGTATCCAATCTGTCTAGGCGGGGCTGATGAAATGAAATGCAGATAGTTCTCTTGTGATACAATAGTGAATAATTGTTATCAGGACTGATTGTCAGAGCTGGAAATGTAAAGGTAGACGTTTTATAGCAAGGAAGGGGGTGATTAACTTTCCCGTCTAGGAGAGGAGGTCCCTCAATGGAGAAGAGCACAGAGCGGGACCCTATGCAGAGAAGCAGTGATGCCTGAGATGGAAGCAGAGACGATGACATGGAGCAATGGAGCAGCTGGGGACTTTAGACCTAGAGAGGGAGAGCGACTGTGTGCTGAAGACTTGGGGAGGGGGTAGCGTAGGGGGCAGGCTAGCAGGATATATCCTTTGGTTGGTTGATGATGCATGGAGGGGATTGTAACCACGGCAGTGAAATGATATACGACAGAATGAATGTAAAACTAATGTTCTCCCATGTAAACTATCATACAATTCACAATAAAATATTAAAAAAACAAAAAAAGACAGGCAAGCATCTTAACATCATTTCCCCACTTCTACCCATTCAAACCAGGTCTCAATCTTTTTATTCATGAGCCCTATTGTTCCACATCTGTGCTTAGATTGTTATTCACCTCTGTCCTATTTAGCCCATGTAAACCTGCCTAGCTATTCTCCTCTCCACCTTATTTTTCCTTTTCCCTTGACCTTCTAGTGTATGCCAGCCCCCAGCACCCAAACTATCCTGTGCCTATTCCATACCCTGTGCTCCACCTTCCCCTCCCTCCCCCTTACCCTACCCCATACACCCGGCTAGCCAACAACAAAAAGTTTAAGAAAAATAATAATTTTTTAAAAAGATAAAAAATTTCCCCCTTTTAGTGTGGGTGTTTTTTCTTAATCTTTTACAATAATGGACCTATGCCATATTACTCCTTTTGTTACTGATTGATTTCACTCAGCACAATGTCCTTAAGGTTCATCCATGTTAGTGGTGGTATGGTGCTTCCTTGTTATTCTTCAGGGTAGCATATTATTCCATTGTGTGTATGTACCAAAGTTTGTTTATCCATTCTTCCATAGATGCGCACTTGGGCTGTCTCCATCTTTTTGTTATTGTAAATAGTGCTGCTATGAACATTGGTGTGCATATATCTACTTGTGTCATGGCTCATATTTCTTGTGGGTAAATACCAAGTAGAGTAATTGCTGGATCATAAGGTATCTCTATTTCCAACCTTCTGAGGAATCACCATTTTGTTTTCCAAAGTGGTTGGACCATTATGCAATCCCACCAGAAATGTAGGAGGGTCTCAGTCTCTCCACATCCTCGCCAACATTTATTGTCCTCTACTTTTTTTATCTTTGTTATTATTGCTGGTGTGAGATGATATCACGTACACAGGGTAGATAGGGATGGGCAACTTAGACATTGGCTGCCTAAAATGAGGGGGCAATAAAGGCAAGAAGTGACTGGCTTACAAGGTTTCAAGAGGAGTTTAGTTTAAGAGTATGGGGGGAAAGAAAGCATCCCCACTGAATAGCTGTTATCTTGTCTAGATGGGTCTGGTGAAAAGACATGGGGATAAGATTCTTAAGATTCAATAGTGAATAATTATTATCATGACTAATTGCGATTGTCACAATTGTAAAGGTAGAAGTTTTGTAACAAAAACAGGGGAGTGGTTAACCTTACAGTCCAGAAACAGAGGACCCTAGGACCGTCAAGGTTAAAGAGCACAAGCAAAATGTGGGGACTTATCCAGAGAAGCAGCAGCACCAGAGATGGAGGTAGAGATGGGGGCATGGAGAGGGGCCGTGGTGGCTGAGGAGTCTAGATTCATGGACTAAGAAGAGAAGGACTAAGAGCTGGTGGCCAGGAGCAGACTTGCAGAATGTGCCCTTTGGAGATGTAAATTCCTATATAAGCCTGAGTGGGGTTTTTTGTTTGTTTTTAAAAAAGCTAAAGGGGATAGAGAGAAATACTGTTAACTGATGGTACATAGAGGGGATTATAATCAATGTAATGAAACAAGGTGTATGATTTGTTGAATGTAAAACTGATGATATGCCCTGTAAACTTTCACTCAATCCACAATAAAAACCTTAATAAATAAATAAATAAATAAAAATTTTTAATGATTCAGCACAACTTTCCTGACCTTTTTCTCAACTAATGCCGTTTTCAATTTTCTTAAAACTTCCTCATAAAAGATCCCATAATTGTCCAGTGCTCTTTGAGATAATCTATCAAGACTATCCCTTTGTGATCCAAAAAAGCCAGTCTCCATAGCTTTCTGAGCTGACCTCTCTGCCTTGAATTTAACTAGCCCAGTAGATCCCCTCAGAAACCACTATTTTGAAGTTACCCTAGTGAGACTAAGATGTCTGCAGCCATCCATTGATTGCAGAGCATGTTTAAACAAATTTTTTTAAAATAAATAAATCCATATATGTATAAACTGGAATCCTAGTAGCAATATTTTTTGGCTTCCCCTCTTATATTCCAACTTAGCTTCTCCCTTAGTCACGTTCCCAAAAGAGACTGCAGTCGTTCTAGACCACCCAACAGGAAAAAAGGGTTACGGAGGGAAGTTAGAGGGGAAAAAGACAGAGGACCCTTCCAACTTCAGGTTAAACATTGTGCTTTTGCAAATTTTAAGCAAAAACATAAGACCCTCTAAGCATGCTGCTTAAGCCCCTCTCGTAGCCTCTGACATTTAAATTTCAGGAACTCCACATTAGTTATGGATACCCTTACTTAAGGAAAAACTAGGTGGATCTCTCTTCCCTGCAACCAGGAGAAATGGAAAGAAATGACTAGGGTTGCAGAAAGAGAGCAAGACATAAGGTACCAGGTGAGCCTGAGAAATAAACCAAAGGCAAGATATAGCAGTAGACTTTTAAAATGATAAAATAAAAGCCAACTTGTCATCGTCAATATCAACTTATGGTAATCCCATGCATTACATAGTAGAACCTCTCCAAGGGGATTTCTTGGCTATAATCTTCATAGATACACCTCCAGGGCCTTTCTAACAAGGTACCAATGGCTGGGTTTGAAGTGCCAACCTTTAGGTTAATAGACGAGGCAAACCAAGAACTGACTTCATGACACTTAACAACATGTGTCACCCAGGGATGTTACTGTGATATGCCGTGGAGTCAGTTCTGACGCATAGAGACCCTGCACAGGGTTTCTGAGGCTGTAAATCTTTAAGAGAGCAGAAAGCCTCATCTTTCTCCCACAGAACAGCTGGTAGTTTCGAACTGCCGACCCTGAGGTTAGCAGCCCATTTCGTAACCACTATGCTACCAGAGCTCCTTTCACCCAGGGATAGAAATGAATAGTCAAGCCATAAGGAGACTCAGAGAAAAGACGTTGTTGTTCAGTGCCTTTGAGCTGATTCCGACTCATTGGGACCCTGTGAGCTCAAACCGCCAATCCTGCAGTTCAAACTGACCTTATAGTTCAGCACATTAACCTGAAGCACCACACCTGAAGAAGTGACTACATGAGGAATGGCAGGACCTGATGAGGCAGTGGCTTGGGTACAGTGGGTGGGGTCTAATGGTAAGGGTGTGGCTAACAGTTGAACAGTTGAGGGTGGGGCTAAGACTAGGGTGGCCTACCTGATAGATGAGGGGACTCTAAAGACCAGGACCATGGACACACAAAATGTGAATGAGGTCCTTAGAAAAGAGATTCAACCAAAAGATAAGGAGCAGAGTTTAAAGGTGAGGGGGAATTGGAAATAAATTGGGTGGGTCCTACAAATGAGAGATCAGAACCACCTGGGCCAACCTCCCCTTTCTTCCCAATTACCAGTAGTGAGATGGGAGTGGAAGGGTGACCTCCTGAGCATCTTCATGTTCTTCCTTCCCCTAATCAGTTAGACAAGGCAGCCATAAGAATTCAGTCATGGTGGCGTGGAAGCATGGTGCGTCGGACATTACTGCACACAGCACTCAGGGCCTGGGTCATCCAGTGCTGGTGGAGGTCGATGCAGGCCAAGATGTTGGAGCAGAGACGTCGCCTGGCGCTGAGACTTTACACTTGTCAGGAGTGGGCGGTGGTGAAGGTGCAGGCACAGGTTCGAATGTGGCAGGCCCGCAGACGATTTCTCCAGGCACGACAGGCTGCCTGCATCATCCAGTCTTACTGGCGATGGCATACCAGCCAAACCAGAGGTCTGATCCGGGGCCGATATGAGGTCAAAGCCAGCCGGTTGGAACTCGACATTGAAATTCTCGTGACCTAGGGCACTGGCAGAGCCAAGGAGACTGGATCTCTCGCCCAATAAAGACGTTTACTAGCCAAAGACTTCCGGTTGAAGATTAGACCCGCGGAAGAGAGCACAGCTGCTAACTTTCCTGCTTTCCATCCAGAAAGAAGATCCCCAGGTGTGATCTTCTGCGGCTACCATCCCCAGGGCCTCTGCTCCTAATGGTACATCTAACCTATCTGGGGTCCAAAAGAGATCCCAGGGCCCAGGCAAGACTCAGATGCCTCAGCAGATCTGATCCCAGCTCCCAGCTCAAGTCAGGATAGGAATTGGGCTTTATTCTCCTGCAGCCCCTGCCTGGGTATCTCCATTCAGGGTAGGACACCAGGGAGCCTGGCTACAGCCAGGGCTGGCTGGGAAGGCCAGGAGTCCACAGGTCTGTGCTTGGCAGGCACCTCAGCACTTGGCAGGGAGCCAGCAGGGCAGGGCACCTCAGCTGAGGAACAGCAGGGCACAAGCACTGAGTCCTCATTGGAGTGGGGAAGGAGAGCCAGCCAGAGGCAGACACAGGGCAGCTCCAGGTGGAGGCCAGGGCAGGAGCTGAGGAGCAGCAGCTGGGTCTTCCTCCCTCAGGACTGAGCAGAAGGACTGCCCTCCACTGTGTAGGCCAATTCCTGGAAGAACTAGGCACAAGGTCGGGATGGGGAGAGAACCCAGGGAGGACTAAAGTACAAAGGGGGAGGTAAGACATGAGCTTGGAGGTGCGACTAATAAATTCTCCCACATTTCCATCCCCCAAGACTTCCTCTTCTATCCTCCCCATAGGCTGCCCCACCCATGGGCTGCTGGACAGGTGGGTGCTGATGGGTCTGCTCAGCTGAGTCGCCCTCCGTTTCTATGCATCTATGACTTAACCATCTCTGTACCAGATCTCTCTCAGTCTTTGCTTTGTCATCCATGCCCAAGGCCCCTCCTTCTCACTATGTTGCCCAGAGATCTGTGACCTTCCCCACCAGATGGTGATAGTAGGCTTTACACAAAGGTAGGAGGACCACTTGAAGAGGTGTGCAGGGAGTACCAAGAGTCTATCTGGGCCTCACAGCTTAATGAGGCTTTCCCAAACCACAGATTCCTTCAGTGTGTAGGGGTGGTGGGGGGAAGAGTGCCTCTAGAATAGCTGTGGTATGTGTGAGATCCAACAGCCATCACCTCCAGTAGCTGATACAATGTAGGCTGCAATGTCTGGCCATATTGACCGGACTCCATTCTTGGGGTCAGCATAACTCAAAATTAATTCAAAACAACTACTTTTCCAAAGAACACCCCCACCCCCACCCCCGCCTTTAGGAACTTTGGACACATAACTCTTTCCTCCTATACTGTGAGCAGAGGAGGAACAAACTCCTCCCTTGGCTGGATGACTTTAAGGACCTGGAGACTATACATTACTAACATGCTAGTTCTCTAGACACCACCCTAGCAGTGAGAGCTGTTTACAACCTGAGCTGGAAGAACCTGAGCCTGAAGAAGTTTCTGGTTCTTAATGTAAATTAAAATCACCTGGGAACTTAAAACTGCAAATATGTGAGCCCACCCCAGAGATTCAAATTTAAATTGGGCTAGGATGAAGTCTGGGCATTAGGATTTGAAGTGTAATAAAGGCTTAGAAACCATTGATTTAAGCCTTTTTTTTTTTTTTTTTTAACCCAGGAGCCCTGGTGGTGCAATGGTTTACGGTTTAGCTGCTAACTGAAAGGTTGATAGTTCAGACCCACCCAGCATCCTCTCAGCATAAAAACATAGCAATCTGCTTCCGAAGAGACTGGTTATGTACTGTGGAGTCGGTCCTGACTCATAACAACCCTGCATAGGGTTTCCGAGGCTGTAAATCTTTATGGGAGCAGAAATCCTCATCTTTTTGCCATAAAATGCTGATTGTTTCAAACCACTGAACTTGAGGTTAGCAGCCTGATTCATAACCGCTATGCTACCACAGCACCGTAAAGACTATAGTCAAGAAAATCATATAGGACAGTTCTATTCTGTCTCATGGGGTCAGTATGAACCTACATCAATTTGGCAGTGCCCAACAACAGTCCAAGCTATACGAGCTCACACACACCTGTGCAGTCCTACCTAGGAATGGACATGCAGAACCCCAAGCTGAACACTCAGTGGCCTAGAGGTCCTAAATGCTAGAATTAGAGCTGCTTTGGGTCAAAATCTTTAGAATCAGGAAGGATTGTCCCTCTGATGGATGGGGGGAGGGGCAGTAGGAGGGGACCTCTTAATCCAGGTAGACCGGAAGATGGTACATGCTACTGGAGTCACATAGGTGTGAAGAATGATTCAGGTCCCAGCTCAAGAAGACCAAGCTTCATCCCAGGCCTTCACTACCACCTGGTAGCATCCCTCCACCTGCCAGTGATCTGGAGAAGCTGAAGAGATTCCAGGCATCAGAGAGCCCCTATCAAAGGATTGAAGATCAGTGTCTTTGACCAGCTTTGCCAGCTCAATGAAGCCACCTTCTCTCCTCAGAAGGAATGAGGCTACAGGTAGAGCTTTCAGAGTTAAGCTTTGTTAGACCCTCACAGACCTTTCCTTCTTCTCCCTGCCCAGCAATGAGAATCAAGCTGCATAGGGCACTCTACCGGAGAACAGCTACACTAAATACTACAAGTGTGGATGGGGAAGGGATGCTTGCAACTTTAGAGCTGGGTTGGGTCTAAGAATGTTCTAGGAGAACCTGCTATTCCCACTCTTGCTTCTCCCCTAAGTGAAAAGCCCTATCCATAAAGAAATGTATTGAAGATTAGTGGATCCCTAAAAAAATAATTGAGTAGGTGAGGGTTCATTCCATGAGATTCCAGTCAACCTCTGGAAAAAGATTCCCAGAGAGCATCTACAGCAGCTAGCCTCACCTAATGTTTCACCAACCTTATCTTTCATCCTACAGCTCTAGCATCTCCATCTGTCTGGTCTTTTACCTCTCTCTCTCCCTCTCCCATGTGCCAACTCCAAAAGGAAATGGTCAGCCCAACTGTCATGCCATAACAGGTTCATACCTCTGACCCCCTACATATACTCTCTCACTCACTCTCTCTCTCTCTTTTGCTCACACACACACACACACACACACACACACTATTAGAGGGTTTGGATCCTAACCACCACCCTGCTCCCACTCACCCATCTCTCAGTGAACTTGCAAGTGGATGCTGCCTGACGTAAAGAAGTCTTTGTTCTGCTTTGTTTCTAGAAATTGAGTTTATTCAAATCCACCACATGTTAGTAGTCTGTAAGCAAGCACTTATGTAGAAAACCTGAAGTGAACTGAAAGGAAAAAGAAAATGTTTTCTGGGCACTCTCAAAACTGGGCTTTCTTATCAAATGTCAAGAATGAACTTAGCATAGGATTTGACTCTAAAGAATTGATCATATGATTTAGTGTCCAAACACTGTTGAGAGTGAAAGAGGAACTGTTAATAAATATGTTGGGAAGAACAAACACAAACCAGAACCAACCTTCCTGGGCAATATCTTCCTGGAAGATATTATCTTACCGGTGAACTTCAGTGTGCAGAGGATGGCGGGGATGGGGGTGGGGGTGGGGGAGTTTAGTGGAAGTGGGATGTAGAGAATGTGCAGCCACATAGGAGAAGACAAAAGGTTATCCATGATCCTGGGAAGGATCCTCATCTGACGGGACTTAGGTACTGACGTTGCCACCTGCTCCCAGCCTTCCAGCTCTTCTCCCTTGGGTTACCCCAGTAGGTACAGAGAGTTCTGAAAACTTAACCTGGGAAGACTACATGGCTCAGAGGTTGGAAACAGCACAAACAAAGGGTGGTGCTTAGGGAGGTGGGTCTGAGGATGACCCCACTGAGCCCTCCATACTTCCTTCATGAAGCTGAGAAGTACTCAAAAGTTCCTGGACACCCCAAGATGGGGTGGGGAGAAATGGGGTAACTGAGAAGTACACAAAGGACTGGTGACTCCATAGAGGTCTGGGATGGAGATAAGCCAGAGATAGTGAGGATTTCACCACTGAGGCCAAGGCAGTGTCTATGGGCATCACAGTAGTTGGGTCTAGGCCTATGGACTGGGGACATGAGTGGGTTCAGTTGTGAGGGGTGGGCTGGGGACAATAGGAAACCCATGAAAGCAAGCAGGCCAACTGTCAGAATCAACCCAGGATGCTTAGGGACTAGGCAAACCAGGCTATACTCAGATGAAGCCAAAGTCTAGAGACTGAGTGAGTCACACCTGAATTGGCATCCCATCCAGAAAGAAGACCAGATGTCCCTTCCATATACTCGGGATAATATGCAAACCCCCAAGAACTTAGAGTACCCTTAGGGGAATGGAGTGGTGGAGAGAAGACCTAGAGAGACTGAGTTTTTATCCTAAAGAAACTGAGTCAACCCCAAGGAAGCTGCTCTAATATGGAAATGACTAGTAACACTGAACAAGCAACTTGGAGTGCTTTTCTGCTACTCAGCCATCACTGGGGCTCATGAGAAAGATCAGTCCTAGGTAGAAAATAAATAGAGGTCTCGGTTTTGCTTACTCTACTTCATGGTGCTCGGCTTTCTACTGATATGGGTGATGACCTTGCTTTCTAACTATCACTTTTTAAATAACCCTAAGCATAAGGAAACGAGTCACAAAGTCTTGGAAAAGTTCATGTACTGAATACAGGCTCAAGCCAAACTCCATCACAGAAATTTCATAAAAATAATAAATGAAATGAAATTCAATAGAAACAATAAAATTCATAGGAAGAATTTAAAAAACACAGCAAAACTTACTTTCAAAATGATGCTCTTGGTGAATCTCAAAATGCCAAGCACACTCCCACCTCAGGACCCTGGTGCTTGCTCTGCCCTCTGTAAGGTACATACTTCCCCCTAGAGATTCCCGTACTCATTCCCTAAACAGCTTCAAGTCTTTGCTTATATATCTTCTCAGGGAGGTCCACCCTGACCCCTCTGCATCCATCTCCCAATCTCATTTTTTCTACTCTGCTTTTCTTTTTTATTCAGTAGCAATTTTTACCTTCTAATGTACTATACAAGGAGCTCTGGTAGCGTA